AGAGCTTGGGTCTGTGGTGTTTTCCATTGGTTGGTTGCTGTTTTATTTTTGTTCTGATTTGTTCTTTGATTACTCTTCGAGTAGTTCCAGGCTCCAGTTAAATTTTACATTAGTTTTCTTCTCATCCTTTCTTTCCTGCTGCATGTACGCTCTCTTCTCCCTCAGCCCCTCATGCTCTTTCTTTCTTCCATCTTCTAACGTAGAAGGAAAATCAGAAACTTATCAAGCTAATGAGAAATCAGCAGTGCTCACTCTAGGGAAGAATCAGATAAAAATAGTAATCATAAAAAGGCAAGAATTTCAGAGCTGTGTTGCACAATAAATTTGTAAATGTTGTGTCTGCTGAATTGTCTTCTTAAAGAATATCTTCTAATTTATTTGGTGCTAATCAATTCTGAATTATTTTGGAATGTGATATATCTTATCACTGGTAGAAAGCAATATTTTTTTGTTTGTGCAGGGGCTTACAAATGCCTAAAGAGTAGTTTAATGAATCAAAGCTTATTTTCTCTAAACAAGTGTGCCTTATGTTCCAGTAGATGGCACTCTATTTCCACAAATACTCTGTTTCTATTTTTGTCTTGAGTATTGTTCCTCAGTCAATTGGAATGGTCTTTCTTAAATAATAATGCAAACTTGAGTCTGCTTTTTTTTGCATTTATACGTGGCTGTATAATGAAATTGTGAGAGGAATCAGAATGCTTCCTTTATTTCCTTAGTTATCCCTCACCAACTTGAATAATCATTTATTAGCAATTCATTAAAACTACTGAATTTAAGCAAAGCGTTAATGAGGATTAAAGGATTTATTTTCTGCTTGTCTTAATAAATAAGTAAATAAGATCACACAGAAACTAGAATACAGAAGCATTTATATTTCTTTTGAGGAAGAAAGAGAAGAAAGAAATTCAAGGCTGCAACCTGTGATATATTAAAAATGATACTTGAAAACTGAAGTTAGTGATGTCCTTTTAGATGGGTACTAGAACTGTTTTCGTACACTTCATTTATAGTTTTTGTGACACAGTTTGTTTTTTTGCTTCAAATTGATAAAAAACAGAACTGAAGTTTTGAATGACTCAGGATGGGGGCATTCCCTTTTTCTCCTTCATGCCTCAGCAGAGCTGTAAATAGGAATTATGTGTTGAGAAACAAAACTTTTGGGTTTTTTTTCCTCACCTTTTTTTTTTTTTTCCATATGAAAGAATAACCAAATAGAAAGAATCCGTGTCTGGTGCTGGCAACGTGGCTTTGATTTTCTCCACCAGCTGCACTTACAAATATGCTAAGAAAGGAAGCAATTCCTTTTTCTGTTGCACCAGTTATGCATTACAATGTGTTTTATAAAACAGATGATTAACTGCATTTGTGTGCTGACAGATTAATTACCTATGTGTAGATGAGAAATATGAGTACTCAATTTACTTTGTTCTGTTTTGGTATGATGCAAGAGGGAAGTAACAGAAGGTAAATGTATTTCATGTTGAAGAGAACACTGCTTATTACGTTAGAGGGCCACAACCTATGAGGATTAATTAGATAAGCATACAGTTATGTTTTTGTTGTTGTTTGTTTGTTTTCGATAGATTAGAAGCATATTTGCATTATGAGCAGGGAACTGAACCAAAGCTAAATGCCAACTGCAAATCATTTCAGAACGTTACGAGTTTTTGAACTGTAGCTGAGTTTGGAATTTGTTATTGAATGCTCCCAGCTGAGGCTGAACAGCAGTCAGGATGGTAGATCAGAGATGCGTTGTTGCTCTGTGAGGAATTAATTTCTCATAGAAACATTCTGGGCTTTGCACAGCAGTCTGTCTTGTCTCTCTTCATCTGTCACTGCAGCATGACCAACCCTTCTGCACTGTGATACTGTGTAATTCTGCAAGGCCCACCAGGAACTTTTTTTGAATGAGACATTGTGTTTTGTGACAAAACTGCTCCTACTGGAAATAGTTGGGCTGCATCTTTGATTTTTACTCTTACTGCTGCATTATTCTACAGCCAGTTGTTCTTACATGTCCTTC